AGCCAAATTGGGAGAAGAGCCCTCATGTGGTAAAGGCATGGCCTGGGCTGTGGCAGATGTGGACAGGAGAGAATGCTGCTGCTGCTGCTGCTGCTGCTGCTGCTGTTGCTGTAGTTGCTGCTGCTGTTGTATCTGTTGTTGCTGTAGTTGAAGCTGCTGCTGCTGCTGCTGCTGCTGTTGCTGTAGTTGCTGCTGTTGTAGCTGCTGTTGTTGCAGTTGTTGCTGCTGAAACTGGTGTTGCTGAAGCTGCTGCTGCTGTAGGGAGCCCATGGGCTGTGTGCTCAGTTTGTGCTGCCCGCTATGTGGCATCAGACCCTGCTGAAGATGTGAGAGCCCTGCCATGGGCCCCTGCTGTTGGTGTTGCTGGGATGTGACCAGTCGGTGTCCCATAAGGCCTTGACCCTGCTGTGACAGCTGGGGAGAACTCAGCATCCGAGGCTGGGTCAGAAGTACCTGTCTGTGAGGGCCCTGAGGGGCCAAAGCTCCAGGATGCTGCTGCTGCTGGTGCTGCAACACTGCCACCTGGGCAGGGCCCAGCATGCCCTGGGGTCCCTGGGGTGGCTGAGGAGACAGCTGTTGGACCAAGAGGCCCTGGTGGCTATTAGGAAGTCCTGGGGTCTTAGGACCCAGGGCCTGATTTGTCTGTGCCCCTGGGCCCTGTTGTTGCTGCTGCTGCTGTTGCTGGGCCTGTCCTAGAAGGTGCTGCTGTTGCTGCTGCTGCTGCAGTTTCTGGGCCAGCTGCATGCGCTGCTGCTGAAGCTGCAGCTGCCTTTCCTGTAAGAGCCTTGAATCAGGTCCCAGGCCCCGAAGAGCAAGGTTGCCAGGGAAGAAGCCACCAGAGGGACCAGCCAGGGCACCAGCCCCACCAGAGTGTTGCTGCTGCTGCTGCTGCGCCAGGGCTGAGTTGAGAAAAGGGCCCCCTGGTTGTCCAGGTAGCGCCATGCCCCCAGGGGGCAGGCGAAGACCACCACCTTGTCCACCCAGGGGTCCCTGAGGTGGCTGCAGCCCATGGCCTGGGAGCAGCTGACCAGGAAGCTTGGTGAGTAGCCGGGGACTCTGAGAAGGGCTGAGGGCCAGCACGGCATTGTGCTGTTGCTGCTGCTGCTG